ACTTCGATTTTTCTGTTATGAAATATGTGTGGCTAGCTAATATGCAAACATGAATATTAGAAGGAAATAGCCATACAAAAAATACATGCAACTTAAGTATTAAGTATTTAAGTATTATTTTAAGTATTTAAGTGCTTATTTTAAATATGGTTTGTTTAAATAGGTATTTAAAATAGTGAATCATGATCCACTCAAATCTTTTAAAGTTTTCTCGGATAGAGACTCTACCATTTTGCAAAATCCCATCATGTTGCCTCCCATGGCTTGCTTGGACTCTCACTGGGGAGAAGAACACAGCTGATGATAGGGTCCACTACACACACTCACTAAGGGATTTTTTTTACTGGTGTTTCTTCCACCTTGTTAAAGCTTTGGGGATTAAAAGAGAACTCTTCTTTACTAAAAGTAGGAAATCCTTAATTTAATAATGTTGAGAAAAATTTTAAACCATTTCTATTTAAAGACATTACGAGTTGCTTAATCAAGGGAAAAATTCAAGATGGTATGCTGCTAATCCCTGTGTAGGTTAGATTTACAGTTACTAATTTGATTTGATGACAGTAATCTGATGTCTCTGAAATGTCTTAACTACAGGAGATCGCACAAATTACAAATTGAAAGCTGTAAAGATATATACAAATATAGATTTAATGATTGTGGGGAAAATAGGATAATTTAGTCAGGCTCCCTGGGCTCAGGTCTGGTTGGGGGTCAAGCAGCACATTCTTAATTCTTTGTAAACAAGTTGTTTGGGTGAGTTAGTGCCCATGTGAACCCATGTATCTTTCTAGTTAATTGCTATTGTCTGTTCTTCAGTTTGTGAAGCAGGCTGGCCAGCAGAGGGCTCCTATCTGAAAATAGAGCATGTTTATTCTGCTGGCAGCTGCTCAGTTTTTCTCCAGACTTTGCCTGTAGCAGTTGAGTTTCTTTTAGTTTTTGATCGGTAAGGGGATCGCAACCCTCAGCAGGGTGTGGTCTACATCACGCTCAGCCAGGGAGGGCACCAGCTATCCCTATATAGGATCCGAACCCATGGCCTCTGCACTACCAGCGCCGCACTCTTCCTAGTGAGCCACCGGGCTGGCCCAGCAGTTGAGTTTTTGAGTTTCTCTTTGGACTGCCTACGTATTAGTGTTGTGTGTGCTGAATAAAGACTATTCTTTCTTCAACCAAGGCTCTAAGGACCTTTTCCTGTTACCTAACTCATAGACCTGCGTGCGAAGGGTTTGTGAATGGGCTCGAGGGGTCTGTGAGCACCAGACCCTAGCCCTAGCTCTACACTGATGTTTAAAGCACGATCAACCTTTATCTTCAACAAAGCAGCTCTAATAGACTGGCAATGAACAATACTGGCATTTCAATCATTTTCTGTAAGTATATTAATAAAACAGTTAGACAAGCACCTTTATAGTAAATGACTCATTTATGATTTTCCATCTTTTCAGTCTATTAACCTTGCAACTGACACTAGTCTGCTTTTGTGTCAGGAAAGGAGATCTGAGTTTTATTTGCCCATGATAGGTTCTTTGGGATAAGGTGGTGAAGATCAAAGACAAAGTGTTCTTGATTTATTTTTTTTTAATTTTTAATTTTTTTTCTTTAAAAAGATCAACAAAATTTGCAGATCTTTATCTAGATTGACCAAGAAAAAAAGAGAAGACTAAAATTACTAAAATCTGAAATAAAGCAGGGGCATTATTACATTGTCATTATGGTTTTTTGTGGTGGTAAGATTTATTTTCTTTCTTATTTGCATTCTTGTTTTACCAGTGGGTTTTGTTCTTTTTTGTGCATTCATGGTAGTGATTATCTTTTTCAATTTCTAGATGCAGGACTCATTTGAGGATTTCTTGTAGGGATGGTTTTGTGGTAGTGAACTCCTGCAGTTTTTTGTTTGTCTGGAAAATACACTATTTTCCCCTTATTTCTGAAGGATAGCCTTGCTGGGTATGGTATTCATGGCTGGCAGTTTTTTTTCTTTTACTGTTTTGAATATATCATCCTATTTTCTTTGTTCTTGATATAAACCTTTAAGTGTTTCATTTTCTTTTTGCTTTTACAACAGTCTTAATTGTAAAGTAGATTCAAATATTACACTGGCAATTGAACTAGATTCAACAATAAACATGGGTCATTTGAAATATGTATTTTAATGTTCTTTAATCCTGGGAATCTGTGATTCTGTGAGGTCTGTTGATCCAAGATCACACAAACAGTCTGTCTTTAATATGAGGCTTTTGGTTTTCTGCCTTGCTTATTTGAGGTAGGTCTGTTGCTCTGGCACTGTGTCCAGAACACAGAAGGTACCAGGTTGTTGGTTTGATAACACCGAGATGGAGAAAATAGAATTGTTAGAGGAGAGAGAACCTTGACTTCAGGCAGGAAAATATAATATTTGTGGGAATAACCAAAGAAGATGGAGATTCAGATGATAGGGGAATAGAAGGAGTAACTGAGCCATTCATTCTTTTCCTACATTGGGGTCTACAATGTCCTGTCTCAATGTATCCTCATGGAAGATTTTATAAATCATCCTACCCTGGGAAGACTGAGAAGGAGGAATGGTCAGGTTAGATAGGTATTTATTTCAAAGCTGATTTTTCATTGCAAAGTTCAAAACTTAAATACTTTTTTTGAAGGGGGGATTAACCACAAAGCCTATTTTATTCATTTATCCATTCGTCTGTCCATCCCCTCATCCTTTTGTCTATCTACAAAAACTTTGTTGAGATTCTGTTGCTCCAGACTCTCTGTGTAGTCACTGAGGATATAATGGAGAGAAAAACAATCACATTCCTTGTTCTCTTAGAGGTTATAGACAGGTGAAGACAGACATGAGCAAGTAAACATACAGAAAATACCTGCTCAAATAAAACTAAAAGGCAAATTACAAGTGAAGAAAATTATTTATTATGTATGACACAAAGGCATAATGTATATAACCAGCTCTTGCAAATCAGTAAAAAAAAAAATACTGGAATGGGAAAATAACTGGAAGTTATACACTATAGTCAAAAAAGAGAGAGTCAAATAATGTATAGAAACATTTTCTTTTTCCTTTTAGTCTTTTTTCGTGTCCGGCAACGGATCGCAACCCTCAGTGTCACACCCGTACCGGACCGGGACCGGCAACGGGATCGCAACCCTCAGTGTCGCACCTGCACCTCACTCAGCCAGTGAGCGGGAACCGGTCTGTATGTGGGATCCGAACCCTCGGTGGGAGCGCCGCCGCACTCCCAAGCGGCGCACTGTAGCAGTGCGCCACCGGGCCGGCCCTAGAAACATTTTAATATCACTGGAAACCAAAGCAGTACACATTAAACTATAATGATAGAATTTACTTTTGTCATATGGTTAAAGATGAAAAAAGTGGTGATGATATAACAACAGATGTTAGTGAGAGTGTGGGGAAGGGAGTGTTCTCACTCAGGTGGGTGTGGGTATAAATTTACAATTTTCTTGGAGAGATATTTGACAATACGTGTCAAAGCTTTCGACCCAGCAATTCCACTTTTGCAACTTTATCCTGTCGCAGTAATAATGTGTTAAAAGATTTATTAAGGATATTCATAGAAGCATTGCTTCTTTTTAAAAAAATGAAAGCAAGCAACTTGATGCCTCTAAATAGGAAGCTACTTAATACATGGAATGTATACATGAATAAAATAAAATGCAACCATTACAGATTACATTGTAAAAGAAAATATAATGGCCATGGAAATTGTTGACTACATATTGATATATGGACAAAGCAAATTACAGACTCGGCTGTTGTAATCCCACTTTTATTAAAATATTTGTGTCCTCACAGAAAAAGCACTGAAAGTGCAGCCAACAAAATATTATCAGTGATTATCTCTGTGCCTCAAGATTTTCACATTTTCCTAATTTTTACAATGTCCCATGTGTTTGCTAGAACTCCCATAACAAAATGCCACAGACTGGTGGCTTAAACAGCAGAGATTTACTGTCATATAGTTCTGGAGACTGGAAGTCCAAGATGAAGGTGTGGGCAGGTTTGGCATCTGCTTTGGTTTCTTCTGAGACCACTCTGGCTTGGTCTTACCCACATTCCTAAGTGATGACTCATAAGTGAAGTTGTATTTTTGAAATTTAGCCCAATTGCTTTCCATCAGGGGACTGTATCTGGCTTTCTGGAAAGCAGTTATACAATTATGATTATAGGTGATATAGTTTTGGGTACAGAATCTATAGTAGATAAATATAGGAGCATTATTCTAAGTTCTAAGTGATTTTTGTTTTAGTAATTGTGAATTGTGATAGATAGACACTTAACTTTCATGGTTGGGTATGATAATAGTAGTAGAAATTGTAGTTTGTCCTTTGTACCTACAGATCATTTCTACTAAAATCTCAAAGCACTTTATGACTGTATATTTAACCTAGGAGTTTTAACAGTAATGCTTTAAGTTGGGAAAAAGAGTCTTGGAAACTGATATTCCACAGTTGCAGTGTGGTGCCCTTGTTCTGTACAGAGTTGCTGAAGAAGTAGTAGAGGTGATTGAAATAGTCAGAGCTTGAGATGTATTTGTTGTAGTAGAAGGAAATGTGGTTAGAGAAGTGGTTATGGCTACTTCAGTTGTGGTCGAGGTCACTGTAGTTAGAAGAATGAGTGATTCAGGTCCAGCACTGGTCAGTTTTGGTTTGACAGCAGTGGCTGGAACTGTTTTGTGTTCACTGATAGCTGTTGGAGTGACTTCAGTTACAGTGGTGTTCTCTGGGGTGATTTAAATAAGTACAGCAACGATGGCTGGGTGGTTTCAGCTCCAGCAGTTGTTAATGGGGTAGTTTTGGGTTCAGCAGAGGTTTCTTGGGTGATTTGAAGTTTGGTGGCTGTAACTGGGACGGTTTCAGATTCAGCAGTGATCTCTTCATCAAAATATCAAGTTTGATGGCAGTCTCTGAGGTGGTTTCAGATTCAGGAATAGTCTCTAGGGTGGCTTGGAGTTTGGTGGTGGTTGTTGGGGGTAGTTTCAGGTTCAGTGGTGGTCTCTGAGGGTGGTTTTGGGTTTGAGGATAGTTTTTGAGGTGGTTCCATGTTCAGAAGTTTTTCCTGGGGATTCATGTTCATCACTATTTTCGGTGGGGGGGGTGTTAAATTCATCAGCAGTTTCTGGGGTGGCTTCAAACTTGGTTGCAGTCTGTGGCTTGGTTTTGGTTTTAGTGGTGTTCTCTTGAGTAGATTCATGCTGATTAGTGGTTTCTGGGGCAATTTTGAGTTCAGCAGTGTTTGGTGGGGTGGTTTCAGTCTCTGGGGTAGCCTCCGTGGTGGTGGTTTTGGGTTCAGAAGTATTTTCCAGAGTAGTTTCATGTTCAGCACTGCTTTTTGGAATGGTTTCAGGTTTAGTGGTGGTTTCTGGGGGTAATTTCAGTTTCTAAAGTGATTTTGCATTCACTAGTGGTTCCTGGGGTATTTTGGAGTTTGGTGGTGGTCTCAAGAGTGGTTTTGTGTTCAGTAGATCTCTTTGATACTTTCATGTTCAGCAGAGCTTTCTGGTTGATCATTTCATGTTCTGCAGTGCTTTCTGGGAACTTTTGGATTCATCAGTAGTTTCTGAGGTGCTTTCAGGTTTAGTAGTGGTCTGCGGTTTGGTTACAATTTCAGGCATGGTCTCTGGGGTGTTTTGAGGCTTTCAGGTGGTGTTGGAGGGTAGTTTCATGCTCAGCAGTGCTTCAGGTGTGTTTTTAGGTTACATAGTGATTTTTGAGGTTATTTCAAGTTTAGTCGAGGTCTACTAAAACTGAGGTGGTTTTGAGCTCAGCAGTAATTTCTGAGGTGTTTTTGAGTTTAGGAACTGTATCTGGGGTGGTTTCTTGTTCACTAGTCTTTTCTGGGGTAGTTTCAGGTTCTGCAGTGTTTTCTGGGGTAGTTTCCATTTCAGCAGTGGTCTCTTAGGTGGTTTCAGGTTCAGTAGTGGTTTCTAGGGAGATTTTGTGTACAGCAGTGTGAGGAAAATGCAGTCAGTGTAGTCAGGCCCCCTCACCTCATATCCGGCTGGGTATGATCCAGCACGTCCATTGTAAACAAGTTATGTAAGAGTGGTGTAACTGCACATGCATGCCCACGTACTCCTTGGCTTGTTGCCACTGTTGTGTACTTTTGGTATAAAAGACAATGGCTCTGAACCGCTGGCTGGCAGAGCTCACATCAGAATAAAGCATGTCTATCTTGTTATCAGCCACCAGAATTGTTTTTCAACTACCTGACTGTGAGGAAAATGGAGTTAGTTTAGTCAGGCCCTCTCGCCTAATATCTGGCTGGGTATGATTCAACATATTCGTTGTAAACAAGTTATATAAGAGTGGCATAAGTGCGCATGAGTGCCCATGTATTCCTTGGTTCAGTGCCACTATTGTGTACTTTCGGTATAAAAGGCAGCGGCTCTGAACTGCTGGCAGTGGAGCTCGCATTTGAAATAAAGCATGTCAACTTTGCCAGTGGCTACCTGATTTTTCTTTCATTTACCTGACTCACGACCTGCACAGGATAGGGCAGAGGGGTCTGTGATCCAGCCCGACATGCAGTGTTTTCTAGTTCAGTAGTCATTTCATGTTTGATGGTGGTTTTAGGTATGATTTCATGCTCATCAGTGTTTTCTGGAGGTGGTTTTGGGTTGATTTGTGGTTGCTGAGGTTGTTTGGAGTTTGATGGTGGTCACTGGGGTGGTTTTGAGAAGGACGTTTTTTTTTGAGGTGGTTTTTGATCTAGAGGTGGTCTCTGGGATGGATTTGTATTCAGCAGTCCTTTCTGGGCTTCGGGTTCAGTGGTGGTTTTTGGAGTGATTTCTTGTTTGGTGCTGGATGCTATTGTGGTTTAAGTTTTGATGGTGGTCACTGGAGTGTTTTAAGCTTCAAAGGTTATTGCTGTGGTTATTTTGAATTCAGGTGTGATCTGTTCAGTGGAGGTTATTGGAATGGCTTCAGGTTCAGCAAATGTTACAAGACTGTTTTCAAGTTCAGTGGTAGCCATGGGGGTGAATTCAGGATAAAAGGTGGTTGCTTGGGTTGTGTTGTTTATTTATTTTTTATTGAAACAACTGATGATACATATTTGTGAGGTACAGAGAAGAATATCAATACCTGTGTACAATATGTAATAGTCAAATCAGGGTAATTAGTATATTCGTCTTTACAAAATGCTTCAAGTTTAGATGTGATCGTTGGTGTGGTTTCAGACACGTTAGTCATTGTTGAAGTTGTTTCGGGTTCAGATGCCATAAAATGGGTGGCTTCAGCTTCAGTGGTGATCACTGCTGATTTTAGTGTCAGTGGTTGGTGGAGTCATTTTCGGTTTTGAGGTGACTGATAAGGGTGTTAGGGGTTCAGGGATTGTTGAAAAAATGTCTATAGTAGATTCAGTAATAATGCCTTTAGGTTCATATAGAGTGCTAATAGCAACTTGGTTGGGCAGAAAAAAGGTGGTGGTTGCTTCTGAAAGGATTTTTGAAGGAATTGTTTTATACTGAATTTGAAAGACAGAGTAATCAAGACAGAGTGATCAAGACAAATTATGTGATGTAAAAATGGCATTAGAAATTGCATCTTACAAATTTTTCTACATAGATGATAATGTTTTGGTCTATATTCTTGCCTTCTTAGATTTGGTATTTTCACTTTATCTATGTGTCTGTGTGCTAAATGTGGCAATGTGTGAAGATGAACAGTGCTAGTTTTATGAACAGGATGGTATTTTGAGAAACAGGAAAAAGCAGTTGGCCCAATTTTTTGTGGGAGTATTTTTTTTTTAACTTTTACTAGGCTATAAAGAGAGAAGAGAATATTATTCACTAATAAAATAATTATTAAAATTTAGGTAAATCAAACATCATCTAAATTCAGAAGTGTCCTTTTACTATTTTATCTTTTGATGAAGTACAGCACACATACATAAAACAATATATAGTTCAATGAATTAAGAAGGCAAATACTTCTGTAACCACAACACAGATAAAGAAATAGAACATGTCATCACCCCATAAGACCACTTTGTCTCCTTCCCAACTTTATCCCTTCTTTCTCCTCAAAGTTAATGCCTCTCCTAGCTTCTAACATTTATGTAGACTTATTTTAAAATTCTTTTTTAAATTATTATTTTATTTTATTTTATTTTGTCAATATACAGTGTGGTTGATTATTGTGGTCAATTACTGCAACCTCCCTCCCTGCACCCTCTCTCCCCTCCCTCCCAACAATGTCCTTTCTGTTTGCTTGTATCAACTTCAAGGAATTGTAATTGATGTGTCTTCTTCCCTCCCCCCACTCTGGTTTTTTTTTGTGTTTACTTATTTTTAGCTCCCACAAATAAGTGAGAACGTGATATTTCTCTTTCTGTGCCTGACTTGTTTCACCTAATATAATTCTCTCTAGGTCCGTCCATGTTACTGCAAATGGCAGTATTTCATTCTTTTTATAGCTGAGTAGTATTCCATTGTGTAGATATGCCACATTTTCCATATCCACTCATCTGATGATGGACATTTGGGCTGGTTCCAACTCTTGGCTATTGTAAAGAGTGCTGCGATGAACATTGAGGAACAGGAATACCTTGGACTTGATGATTTCCATTCCTCTGGGTATATTCCCAGCAGTGGGATAGCTGGGTCATATGGCAGATCTATCTGCAACTGTTTAAGGAATCTCCATCATTTTCCATAGAGGCTGAACCATTTTGCAGTCCCACCAGCAATGTATGAGAGTTCCTTTTTCTCCGCAACCTCGCCAGCATTTATCGTTCATAGTCTTTTGGATACTAGCCATCCTAACTGGGGTGAGATGGTATCTCAGTGTGGTTTTGATTTGCATTTCCCGAATGCTGAGTAATGTTGAGCATTTTTTCATATGTCTGTTGGACATTCGTATATCTTCCTTTGAGAAATGCCTAGTTAGCTCTTTTGCCTCTTTTTTAATTGGGTTGCTTGTTTTTTTCTTGTTGTTTGAGTTCCTTGTATATTCTGGATATTAATCCTTTGTCAGATGTATATTTTGCAAATATTTTCTCCCACTCTGTTGGTTGTCTTTTAACTCTGTTAATTGTTTCTTTTGCTGTGCAGAAGCTTTTAATCTCATTTGTTTATTTTTCCTTTGGTTGCCCATGCTTTTGGTGTCATATTCACGAAGTCTGTGTCCAGTCGTACTTCCTGAAGTGTTTCTCTTATGTTTTCTTTGAGAAGTTTTATTGTTTCAGGGTGTATATTTAATTCTTTAATCCATTTTGAGTTGACTTTAGCATATGGTGAAAGGTATGGGTCTAGTTTCATTCTCCTGCATATTGATATCCATTGATATACCAACCTTCCTTCCTTCCAATTTTTTCTTTTTTTTTTTTCTGTGAAAGGCCATTGATACTTTAATTAATTAATTAATTAATTTTTTATTTTATTATCATTTTTTATTGAATCATAATTGATTATACATATTTTTTGGATTCAGTGTTGACATATGTTGATCAAATCAATATTACTAGTATGTATATTATTATAAATTGTACTTATTCTTTATGCCCTTTGTCCAATCTCTCCCTATCCCCCCTGTCGCTCCCCCTCCCACCAGTGATAACCTTAGATTTTTTCTCTCCCTCTGAAAGAGTAATGGTTACTCTGTTGATTTTTTGCGTAGATGATCTGTCCAATGCTGAAAGGTGTGTTCAGATCCCCCACTATTATCATAGAGCAGCTGCTTCTTCTGTCACTCTGGAATGGGCTTTGTGGAGAGAGAAATCCTATTCTTTTCTTTGGTCTCTGCTGGTGACTCTTCTTGTGTCAATGCACTCCAGTGGCTGGCGGAGCATCTGCGTGGTGGTTGTGATGTCTAGCCACTTTTGCAGCAGCTGTGGTTACTGTGGTGGCTGTGGTGAGCCACCCACATGGAGGTGATGTTTTTGGCATGCTGTTGGCACTGGTAGTGTGCCTGGTTGTGGGGGAAGTCTGGTCCCTAGCTCACTGCCTGGGTCTCCGGATGGGGCCTGAGGTGCTGGTGATGTGCCTTGGCTGGAACTAATTTTTTGTCCTTTGCTTACTTCTAAAATGGGGGAACTTCCTGTGGGAACCAGTATTTGAGCTGTGTTGTTGAGCTAAATTGCTGCTTTGCTGTTATTTCCCTAGGGAAGACTTTTTGTGCAGCTCATGATTGAATGGTTGACCTTACAGGTACTTGTGGCCCTCCAGATACCCGGTGCACCTGGGTTTTATAGAAACTCTGATCTTGGCCTGAATCTTTTCATCAAACTGCACCCCATGCAATTCTGCATTCCCAACCAGTCTCCTCTGAGTGATCCTGTGCTGATTGGGGGGAGGATCGGCTGTCCTTGCTGTGTCCCAGTGTTCTCCTGGTGGGCCCATCTCCCTCACTGCCTGTGCTCCGGACACTTCCCGTGGGA